CATAAAATTATGCAATGGCTGATGGGAAGTTATGCAGTTGCATATGGCATTTAGACATCATTAAATGCAAATAAACAGAGCCTATACGTGATATTAATTTTCGCATTTGCCATTTCTGCAGCCATATACTACCTAATGCAACAAAAGCAGGCATACATTTTTTTACTCCTTTCAACTGCATGAAATATATACTAAATGAAGCTAAATATTGACAGTGATTACTTATTTTGTTCTGTTCTGCCTTACAGGCTCCTGAAGTATCCATTATGTTCACTGCCCTAACTTCCAACCTTTTACAATTAAAAGCCACACCAAGTTCTGCTTTCGATCTGCACGAGCTCTACCACTTAAATTTGTCATACCAACACCCACTTTTGCTAAGTCCAACCCTTTAAGAACCCAAAAATATAAGCATGCGTGCTAAAAACTGTGCTTCTTTCCATGGGTAACTCTTGACACAATAGAACGTATTTTGCCAAAACAATCAGTCACTAGGTAACTGTAGACAGAACCTCACTGCAAATATCAAAATGTGAAAACTTTACATTTTGTACGTTAGACATTTAAAAAAATATTTTAGGATAATCAATACTGTTTGCAAAGCGTATATATATATATATAGTGGGAAAAAAACTAAAACAGAGTATTGCAGTAGGCAATGGACTAATATAGACTAATGGACGGAATACTGGACTAATATGGTTTACCCATTTACATTAATACATATATACATATACACTTAGTGGCCAGATTATTATGACCACCCCATCAGTACTTCGTTGGGCCACGAGATGACTCCACAAGATGACTTCGTTGGGCTGCATGAGCTTTAAAACTAGCCCTCTCTGCCCTCTGTAGCTGCAGAAACTGTAGAGCAATTAATCCTCAATGTTCAGTGTTCAGTGAAGTTGTTCAAATTGGATCTCCCCCTGCAGTCTATATACCTGATCTGTGTTTCCATTAGAGATAAGAATGAGGAACAAAATAAGCTGAGCTGCTAAAAGTTAAAGTGCTGGATTGCTCCCCGGGACCTACAGCTACAGAAGTCAGTGAGGGCTTGTGAACGCTAATTTACTACTTGTTGAGAGTATAAAAATATTTGAACATCTATAGCCTGGTCACAGTTTTAGTTTTAGGAGTACAACCAGAAGCCAACTTTGTACTCCATAAAAACAACTTTATGTAAGTTAGAGCACAGTCACATTCCCTAAAAAGTCAATGTCAAGGTCACTAATTAGGATTAGAGATTTGACATTGCCTTTTTGGATGCAGGGGATGTGGCTGTGCTCTGACTTTCATATAGTTATTTGCAAAAGAAGTTCATGAGGCTTCTGGTTGCAGGTGCCTAAGTCCCAACTTTCAGAAAATCCGCTGTTTCCATAGGATATTTGGGCTGTTTCTAGGACACTTTAGAGGGATGGTTTAAAATGCAAGAGGTATGTCTATGTATCATATATTGCCTACACCTTAGGCTAATGTTGCTTCATGTTTTTCTTTGAAATGATGAATCTCTAGAACAGTATGCATGAAAATAATTTAAACTGCCTGCCTCCAACTCTGATCACATGATATCACATCAAATGGTGCTTAATATTAGTGGGCTTCTGTTAAACAAGCCAGAAAAGTTTATTATATGTAAGACCTAATTTTGCTCTACTGAACAGATGAAATATCCAAAGATAGGGGGCCTCAAACTACAAAACTCGGGGTGGTATATATCTGCTTGATGCAACTGTCTTGAGTAAATTTTGCTTTTTGTCTATTGCCATCAAAGGAATGTTAATTTGTAGTAACCATTTGTCCCCAGCTTTACAGAGTAGATAAAATTGGCAACAGATCGATTTAAAGTGTGGAATTCAATATGGTATAGTTCTAATTGTAAATCTAAGAAATGTAAAATTCATTAAGCATGGTAAGCACTTAGTAAATGTATACAGCAAGTAAAATTTACACTGGCAGTGGAGGAATTAGTGGAACCAGAGGGGAAAAGATCTCACTGCTTTTTAAACCATTGTGTGGCTATGTGCTTTCTGAAGGCCAATCTAATAGCCACCAGGTGATTTAAGAGGAACATGTGCTTCCATTAACACCAACATGAAAGATTCAAATAGTTGGGAGCCAACATTATTTTCTAATGAGTTTTGGCTACCTGTCTCCTGAGATTTACGCAAGCCTGCCAATGGATTTGCAGCTTATATAATCTTTTACGTTTCCAGGACGAAGAGGCACAATGTTCCCTTATTCTTCAAACACTAACTGGAGATCAGAGATCAAGAAGCATTTTGGTTCCAAACAGCCTGTCTGGAAGTTCATGTTCCATATGAATTGATGTTGAGATTTTTAAACAGCTACGGGAAGTTGTTTGGAATAAAATGTTTTGCTCTGCACATGTGCCATTTCCCCTGCCTGTTATTGTTGGTGTAAATTCCCAGAGCTAACAATCTGTATCAGATTTATTGGGATTTTTAAAAAAAAAGTTGACACAAGGATAAAATTGTGCAGTTCTGCAAGACATTTTAGCTAAATTTTTCATCCAGAAAGGGGATGTTTATTGAAGGCTTCCAGCCACAATAAAATGGGGTGGGAGAGGAGGCCGGAACACATAAGAATAGCTCTATATTTATCGGTAAAAGAAAAATAAACCTACTTTTTTCTTTTATAAGGTTGAAGTATTTGTTTTAAATTTGATGTGCCATGAATTGCAGCTGGAGAAGTGGACTGATCCAAACATCTATCATGAAGGAATAGTAAAATTGGAACAGGTCTGTAAAATATTACTGATTTACATCTAACAATTTTGGTACCCTGAGCCGTGCCCTATTTCTCTCACTCTCTGTCTCCATGAGTCCAACTGCAGTGTTAATTTTTGTCATATGCCCCAGCGACTGCAACTTTGGGCAGTGTGAGTCTTCCATGCAAGAAGAATGTGTGTGCATGAATGTTAATCAAACTGGTCTGGTTGGAATCACTTCTGAGAGAACAAAGTAGGAAATGGGCCGTACAGAGTTAAGTGTTGTCTACAACGCCCTTTTTTGTCCAAAACTAACCAGTGTCTTGGAATTATGCAATTATAAATTGACTCTCTGTGCAATGAACAGTCACCTGCTAAATAGAAAAGATTTTCCCTGTTTTGGCAACCAAATAACACTTATTGTACTGGTGACAATGATCACCAGCATCAATAGAGATAGCAAATCTCCTCATTGGGGATACAAACGGTAATAAAAACCTTATAGTGCAACATTTCTCCACTTTATTCAAAAGTAAAAAAACGGTTTTGACTTTAGATATACTGTGGACTTAAAGTATATCTAATGCCAATTTTTTTCTCAGCTTTTGACAAAGTGTGAAAGAGTTAAAACTAGGGATGCACCGATACTTTTCAGATACCACTGCCGATACTTGTCATTTTCATGAGAACTACCAAGGTTGCAGCGGTTGCAGCTGGGACCTGGCTCTGGCGCTCCACCACTGTCCTGAAATCATTAGTCTGTATTGTTTTAGAAAAACAGTCACATCACAATAAACAAAAATTTATAATTA